ACTTCAAATGTGTGTGTGTGTGTGTGTGTGTGTGTGTGTGTGTGTGTGTGTGTGTGTGTGTGAGATTTCCATCAGGATAACGTTGTTGTTTTCCAAACAGATAATAAATCATACAGGACTGAGATCACTATCCTGACTCGTCCTTGAGAGAGTCCTCGTCCTCTGTGTCCTCAGTGGACACATTTACTCTGTGATTGACTACGTCTGGTGGTTTTGACTAAAATGAGAAAGAGTCTGAAAAACTCATCAATCAACCGTCAAGGAAAAGGAAATGAAATCCGACGAGGGACGTGAAGCCTCCGTCCTTTCAGGGTATCGACATCAAAGTTTTTAAAAGAGTAATATTCAGGTTGATCATTTTGCTCCGAGTTTTGACTTTGACTTTGCTCTGATGTCCAGAAAACACGTCTCTGTCCTCAGACTGTCCGTCGCTGCAGCTCCTCTCTTCAGCCTCTGTCTCAAACACGTTGCTGTGATTGGTCAGCTGCTTCTGGTGCGTGTAATTCAAATTGGATTCTTGCTCAGTTTGTCTCTTCTTTCTTTTTTTCCCGTTGATTAAATAATTCCTGATTCCATGAGAGAAACCCCCGTCAGTCATATGCAACATCTAAGATCTTACGACCACGTGATGCGAATCTGAAGTTTTGAGTTTTCAGCCGGAAATCATGTTTGAAACCAAAGAGCGTGAAAACACACACTGATGTTTCTCACATGATTTATCTGAATGCCTCCTCCGCTGTAGCTCCGCCGTGAGGCTCCGTCTCTGTGGCTCTAACTCGTTTATCCCGACACACATCGGGTTTGATCGTAACGAAAGCTGCTGGAGTTATTCATGTTCTCCTCGGGATGAACCGTAACGTTGCTGATCCCTTCACTCTTCACTGATTATCATCATCTGGTCAAGCAATTGTAATATTGTTTGTCCTTAATATTATTTGACTTCATTCAAAGTCATCGTCTCTCTCGTTAACTTCGGGTCAACGCGAGTTGAATTTTTGCTGCTCTGCCTCAGAATCGTCACAAACAGTGAGAACGAGTCTGAACGACAGAGACGAAGTGAAATAATCCGGAGCTGAGTCACTGGACGATGATTTTCTGCTCCTGTAAGAACTTTAAATGAGTTAGTGATGACTTTAATATCACTCACACACACACACACAGGATGTTATTTCATTCAGAGGCTCTGATCGTGTGTGTGTGTGTGTGTGTGTGTGTGTGTGTGTGTGTGTGTGTGTGTGTGTGTGTGTGTGTGTGTGAGAGCACCATGGTAAGGACTTGACAGTCTGAGGTACATGGTCGCCACCCAGAGGCTGACAGGTGTAACTGCTCCTGATAGAGGAAGAAACAGGAGGCTCGGGTGATCGAAGGAGAGAACATCAGGGTCTATTTCAGAATGAGTTCAGATCTGAGAATAAACAAAGATCAGGTTAATGTTCTGACGACTTCACGTCAGTGGATGATGAGGAATGATCTGAACCATCAATCCCTTCGTCCACTGGAGTCGGGAGTCACACCTGATCTGTTGTTTAGCTCCAGAGGATGAATAGAGACTCTAACACGTCTCCCTGAAACTTGACTTCAGGTTACACCGGTGAGTATAGGTCATACACCCGACCTGCTCCATGTTATCAGATGGGACACGGACCAAACTAGAACGTTAAGTATGTTGATGAATTTAAAGATGGTTTCTGTTATCTGACGTTGTTTTCATCACACTGATGTTTCTGATAAGTTTGGTTTTAATGAGTTATTTGATGATATGAACACGTATCCGGGACAACGGGAGGAAAAGGAGACGCCTCATCCATTAGTCATCATCATCATCATCGTCATCGTCATCCAATCTAAAAGTAGTTTGAGCTGCTCGTCTGTAAATGTTATACGACAAAAGAAAATAATGTAATTAAAAAGGGCGTGCACGTATGAAGCTGGTGAATTTAACATTTATTTTCATTTGTCATTTTAAAAACAGTTTGAGGACAATCAAAATATAAATACATATCTCTCTCACTCACACACACACACACACACACACACACACACACACACACACACACACACACACACACACAACCCCTGCCCCTGATTTCGATGTTCAAAGGTGCAACAACCAACTTAATTGAATCTTCAGGTATTTTCATGATCAAACTTCTTATTTAACACACAACAGATTTTTCTATCATCATCAAAGTTTCTCTTTACACTCGAAACAAGTCGAGTAACGTTCGTTAACATTCACACGACCTTCAGACTCCGTCACACATTCACAGTGAACCACACCTGCCGCTCTACGCCGCGTCAACGGAATCTAAGAGTCGCAGCACAAGGTACGAATCATTGGAACCAAAAGAAAAAAGATCGCTCCAGTCTCGTAAAGTCTGAACGTTCTTCACGTTCTTTCAGATTTTTACACAATAAGAAATAAGCTGTGACATTTTGAATTAATATACATGATTACTGGGACAGAATCAAATCAAATCACGTTAGCGTGAACGAGGACGAGGAGGCTGATAGTGAACCTGGCGTGTTTTCATCCGGCCGTGGATTTTTTATCTAATTTCTTTACGTCTCTTTAGCAACGCCAGCTAGCACAGCACGTTAGCACGAAAGCCGACTATGTTGTTTTGTCCCGAGCGGGAAACTGAGATTGTTGTCGTAATGATGATCACACCGGCACCTAGCGTCGGGTTCAACGCAGCGTCACGTGTGAGTCCAGCGTGATGACGAACTCACTTACAAGTTATTAAAAGTTTATCTCTAATATTTAGCAGCTCTTCTTGTTCGGGAAGCAGGGGATCATGGGTAACATCCAGCGTTCCAGCTTTTACTTTGTTTTTTCGTACATATCAGAATTAACCGCCACATGTGCCTGCAGAGGGCGCTGTTGCTTTAATGAGCCGGAACACGTGAAAGAAATGAAACCGCCTTAGCGTCCCCGTGCTGTCGGTCCAACGCTCGTCTAAAATCAACACGAGGTGAAGATCAGACTGGCAGAAGCATCTGGACCTCACATGTTTAAGTGGGAATCGAGCCGACGCGTTCCTCCTGTGGTCTGAAGCTTCCTGCTGCTTCCCTGTCATTTACTGAAGACGTGGATCAGACGCAACACTTTTTAAAAGACCATCAAACTGTTTGTGTCACGACTTTCAGACATTCCCCGACACAACAGGTCCAATAAAAAGAAGGACTGAGCAGAACAGACGTCCTCTCCCCCGAAAATAAAAACCTCATGTGCACGATCTGAGTTTTAACACTGACAGTGAACCTGGAGGGATTCTCGTGTTGTTTCCACACCGACAGAAAAAACTGGTGGAATCGTACGAAGAGTTGGTGTCGGACGATGTTTGGGAGAAGTCGAGGGGACGGATCCTGTCGTGAGGTCACTTCCTCGACCACAGAACGTGAAAGTTTCCAGTGAGCGTCAGAGAGAAGAGTCACAGGAAGCGATTTTTCATCTTCACATTTATAAGTGATAACGTTTGTGAACAAAAGAGACTGAAGAACATTTTGAAGATATCATCTGCAGCTGGTTTTGATTCCACAGGGAACCAAAGTGATGGAGGAGTTTTAAATGTTCAGTAAACTGCCTCTGGTGTATTTATTTTATTTATTGAGCTTCTTTTAAAGCCACTATGTAGGATTTTAAAAATTCTGGTGACACCTGGACGAAATTAAAAAATTTAAATTCAACAATTCTGCTGTTGTGTCGCTGCAGGTGGGAACAGAAACATAATTTCTCTGGATATAACAACTGTAAAACACGAAAGCTGCAAAACTTAACTAATCTTCATGACCCAGGATGAAGTCAGTGGAACATCGGAGAAGATAAACTAGAAATAATTCAGATTTTAATATAAACTAACTCCACCCAGATCTGCCCAGAGAGGAAAACAACACAACCTCCACTCGGATCGATGGATACACATAAATATGTATTTTTACAAATGTCATCAGATTATTTAATTACATAAAAAACTCCTGCACGTAGTGGCTTTAAATCGAAACTCTGCCTTGTACAGATTATTGAGCCCAAATTGTAATTGTACTTTTCTCAACTTGAGGCCTCGAGCACATGATTGTTATTTTCTAAAACGTTCACGAGGAACTGAACGGATTCAGCTTAACGACTGATTCACGATCTGCTTGTTTGTTGAACTCATTAACTCTTCACATCGTCCTCAGTCTCTTTATGACGGACTGGAATGTTATCACCTGGTAACAGAGTTTAAACATTTACTCAAACAAGAGACTCGACTAACGAACCAGACATCAAGAGCAGGGGGGGGAGGGGGGGGGGGGGGGGGGAAATGTTGCTCTGAGAAGCAGTAGAGGCAGTCGTAGAGGCAGTGGGGGGGGGGGGGGGGGGGGGGGGGGTGTAAAAACGTATGTGACTCGGGCTTTTATATTTTTATTATTGTCAACAAATCCACTGAAAAGACCAAAACCAAAGATGAATTTCACCGACGCTCAACTCTCAGTGATTTCCTAAAGCTAAAGATTATGTGTGTGTGTGTGTGTGTGTGTGTGTGTGTGAGTTCATGATGATAAAGGAACACGTCACTCGTTATAACACTGCGGCTCCTTGATATGTTTTTAACAACACTGGAGCTCTATGGCACCGACGAGGACACGTCACACGTGTCGATTCCGCTCAGACCTGGTTTTATCACCCGTCCTCCGAAGATCAGGTCTGAACCGTCCTGAGATCTGATCCGTCTACATGTTGATGTGCTCACGTGACTCGTCTACACCGATCAACACAGAGTCACTCTTAAAAACCTAATTTCATTCACTCTGTTTTGCTCGTGCTGACACGCTAACATCGTCACGGGACACGTCTGTAAACTCACACGGGGTCAAAACATCGTTTGATCGGAGCAGATATGAGCAACATGATTATTTGCACGTAGAGGGGGGGG